TCCATGACAACTTTACACATTTGCTCCCTGCTTTTTCTGAGGTGTGTACATTCTCAGTGTAAAATATGAGACAAATGAAGGCGTGCTCATTGCTCAGAAGTTATTATAGAGACAGGAACCTTAGGTGACCCTTTAGGATGTGAGGGAGTAGCTTTAAGTTAGGGACCCTACAATATATAGAGTTGACACAGGAAATGTATCCAGTGATTTTTTTTTTTTAAATTTCATTCATTTTTCAAAAGTGCAATTTGTAGGATCAGTTAGATTTATTAACTTGTAATAGAGCCTTGATTTTTTTGGCCAGTTTTTTTTTTTCTTTTCCAATTTGAAAAACTGCACAGTTCATGTACCCGGCGACATCTCCTCTTTTCCTCTTCTCTCTCTGTCTCTGTCTTGTTTTTTTTTTTTAAACCTTAAACTGTTAGCGAGTACAAAAACCAGATTGACAGTATTTTATGGAACCTTTTTTTTAAGATCAACGTTTTTTTATATTCATTTTGAAATCTTGAATAGCTTGAGCAGGTATCATAAAATTTGCTTGTATAAATCAAGCACTGTATTTACTGTATAAATCTCGTGGTTTGTTGATGTCAGCAGATCCAACAAATTGCGTTTGTACATAAGAAATTTGTAAAATAATGTATTAAAAATTGTCATGACACTTGTAATTGCAATAAAATATGTACAGCTTGTGCACGTTTTTGTTATTTGTGCCTCGTGGGTCAGTAACGTCAGCGAGTAGGCACTGAGTAGTCATAATGTACGGTCAACAAGACAAGTTTTTTTCCTTTTTAATGCAACTTTCTATGATTAAGACACTTCTAAAAGCTTAACCATCACATAGTGTATAATCATCAGATGTTCCTTATTATACCGAAGCATTAAGAATGTGGCTTATAAGATATAACCTAATAATCTGAGTAATATTCATTAGAATAACTGTGTAAAATACTTTGTGTTTTTACTGCGGATAAATGTTCATCTACGTAAAAGGTTTCTAATCAAATTACCCCAATAACTGACTTATAAGTGGAGTATTGCTCTTTTAAACTTCTTCTGAGTCCTGTGCTCACCGTGCCAGTATTTTATGTTCATCATAATTGCTACCTTGCAGCATTCAGTGCTTTTCACAAATTCGCTTTTATGATGTCTTTTACTGCAATAACCACATTCTGTTTTGCTTTAATTTGCTCTAAAACAACTCAGCAGCTTACATAACATCATTAAAAAGCTTAAAAACAAGATGCTTCAAACACTGTCGAGAAAGAATTTGCATAGGACAAAGAGTTAGCGTACCAAATATGACTAATGCAATGTGACAGCCTCGTAAAATTAATGCATCCAGCAGCCCCTTTACTCTGACAGCAGAAACCACCTTTAGCTCGCTATGTGTCAATGAGATTTCCAAAGACAGCTGGAAAACAAAGCAAAAACGACTCAACACTGACATGAAGCAAACTCCATTAATGTCATATTTGAGATCAAATTGTAGCTGAAAGGGTCTGGACAGAACGGAGAGCATTTCAAATCTATTTAAATGAAATTTCTCTGACTGACAGCTTCAAAGATCATCGAAGATTGTCTATTGAGACCGATTATTACTGAGTAAATCTTTGCCACTTGCGGTTTAAATTGCCTCACTCCAAAATTTACCATGTTAGCATTTTGGGCTGCCAAAGTAAAGATATATGAATATGTGACAGCAGCCAAGACACTTGTTCAACATTAAACTGACAAACGCTGGCTGCTATATCTGGCTTATAAGTCAAAAGTTAAAAAGCTTTCTTCGTCATAACAAAGAGGCTGTGGATGGGACAAAGGAAGGCATTCATCCCAGTGACTGAAACGCTTATAAGCTATGTACTTAGTAAAGACGGATGGGACAGTAAATTTTACTCTGTACCAAGTCCTCCAGTCTTCCCAGTTAGATTAACACAATTTTTTTTAGAGCAATTACATCTTATAACCAGTTTAAATCTGCTTTGTCAATTAACCTAATCGTGGTAAAACACAGGATGGTGTTTCATCGTCTCCATAAACACAGACGACAGACTCTCTGGATGCCGGGTATGTCTGAGGACTCACCACTATGGAAAACCTTCAGTAAGGGTGGCCCCAACTCCTCAACCAACATGGAAAACCTTGAGCTGACATAGCGCTCGCTCAGCACAAAAAGAACCACATTTCCTGAACCTTCAAACCTGAACCTTCAAACTTGGCGTCCATTGTTGTTTCACATCTGTAAAAGTCAGTGTCCTTGCGTTTTCAATTGAAAAACTTTTTTGTTTCCTGTCCCCCCCACCATCACCACCACCAGCCGTTTCACGTCAATGTTGGAGTTAATGTAGTCATAACAATAAAAACCACCGAACAAATTTCTCTCTGGAGGAAATCAACCATGCACATTTCATGCTTTTACTCAGAGCAAAACAGACACGTCCACCAAGGGGACTGTCCAAGTCACATAAGTTGTAATTAACTGCTAATTATTTAGAGCTCAACTAAATATGATGAACAAATTGAGGTGAATTATAGGCTTAAAGAAATTCTTCTATTAGAACTCCTGTGTGACAAACGTTCTGAGCATAAAACATCCTTGAACGGACGATGTCAACACTTATGTTCAGGATGTTAAATGTTTTGACATCCAGAATTATGAAAGGACTGTGAAGGGGAGGTGACTTTTCAACTGTATCCTTTTTCCATTTTCCAGTGGCTGTGAGCCAGTGTCAGGGTAAAACTTTTTTTAAGAAGAAGAAGAAGCCAGTATAACTGCAAAATAAGATTGAATAATAGAATCAAAAATGCTGATAGCCTTTTCAATAAATTAATTAATAAATTATATATTTAATTGAAAATGCTCCATATACAATTTATGACGACATACACAGTATTTTGTTTAAAGTGAGAGCTCTGGTGTGTTTTCTGGAAAATATGTGCTCATTTTGATTTTAATGCCAGCAATAGGTTTCAAAATAGTTTAGGCAGGAGTAAACTCCCCTCCGCGTTGCATCATGCCTTCTGTTAACAACACAGTAACAATTGAAAGCATTTGGTAACTCAGGACACAGACAGCTCTGGTTTTGAAATCAAAGGGCGAAATAATTATTTGCTCAACAGGATTTAGGTTGGTCAACAAGTTTGGGGCCTCCAGATTTCTGATTCACTTTGTGCCAATTGGTGTGAATGAATCTAAAATGACGTTTGGCACCTGGATTCTTTTACTATTAAAGCTCTACTACTGTTACATCAGTACAGAATGTGATATGGTATCGTCTTGCTTTAGTAAATAGGGATGCTTTGAGTCCATACGTGCACTGGAGATAAATCCAATCCTGACTCTTAAAGCTAGACTGAGTATTGGTGAAAATAGGCCAACGTATCAGGTTGATCTTTTGAATTCATTTCTATATTATTCAGGGTTCGCAGCACAGTGAACAACTTAGAATATACAGAGAAAGCCAACAGCTAAAGAGTCTGTTATGGATGCCACGCCAACAGCTTTTCTTTGCATGCTTGCAAAAGTTTTCAGTTCTTTTCATTTAAATGCAAACTCAGATGAGTTGACCAGAGTCTGCTTCTTTCTGTCTCTCTGACATCTCACAGCAGGGAAAGGTCAAAACTAGTTTAAGTGCAATTTTTCAAAGTGGTCTTTAGCAGTAGCTCTCCAGGCTTTCTGAAGGTTATTCAATGATTTTTTTCAAATTTTTATTTCAGTCCCTGTACCTGATCATTTTCAGAGGAATATTTTTCAGCCACTTAACACTGACCTATGAATTATTTAAGCAAAAAAATTAAAAAAGAAACTTATTTTAAGGGATTAACCAGTGTTGAGTCTACACATAAAAGACAACTTAGGAAAGAACTCATTTTAACATGCAGCTTTAGGTACTTTGTCACAATCTGTTGCACAAACACATCATTTATTACCATTTCATTATTTGAATCTATGTAAAAATACCAAAGATAGCACATTCTGACAGGTATAAGTAGAATAGCATCTTTACAGCAACAACGTGATTTCCATAGAGTTCTAGGTCAGAAACTTGGCATATCTTGGCATGGTGTGCAGTGTGTCTTTAAAACATCTGAGGAAACTGGAAAGGTGGAGAATAAAAGAAGAAATGGTGGGTCTAAAACACTATCTAGAGCAGATAAAAAGTATCTGAAAGTCATGTCCTTAAGAAACAGGAAAAAAACCCCCTGAAGATCCAGATGCATCTGGGCCTTCAGTTGATCCATCCACAGGTCACTGACCTCATTAAAAATAGTCTCAGAGGAAATGTTGCTGTCAAGAAGCCATTCTTAAGGAAGGGAAAAGCTGAAGTATGCCAAATTACACAAGAACTAGGCTGCAGCCATCAGTAAAATATACTGGAGGTTTGGAGCTGCATTTCAGCCAGTGGTTATTAGGATTTATGAAACTGTACACACAGGAAAGTACAGTCAGATTTTGAACCACGATGTAATACCATGGTCCACACACACTGCCAGTGCAGTAAAATATTACCTGCATAGAAAAACACAGTGTAACAGTATCAGTCATGGATTGGCCTCCCCAGAGCCCGGACCTCAACATTATTGCAGCAGTGTGGGATCATCTTGACAAAGGACGGAACTAAAAACACCCAACATGCAAACAAGACCTTTGAATGCCCTTCAAGAATCCCCAAGAACTATTCCTGAAGACTACTTAAAGAAATGACAAGAACGCTTGGCTAAGAGAGTTCAGGCTGCTGCACCTATGTTTAAGCTGATCCAGATGTTACACATTAAAGAACTTCTCCCTGTTCTTTCCTCAGAATGATGAATAAAATTGATAAATTTAGCAATCATATCAGATCCCTTCCCGAAAACCCAATTTAAAAAAAAAAAATCTCAGCAGCAGCATTTGTTGCTCTTAAACCTGTATATGAT